ACTAAACTCCGAACAATACATTATGTTACAGATTTTACACATTTAGGAAATAGCACTAATATATACAGATCACTCAATTATAAATATCAAGAATTAAAAGAGGTGATTATAAATAAATATCAACAAAATTGACAAGAATATTCCAGAGTAGAAAAGAGCGTGTGTAAAAAGGGTGTAACTATTGCAGCGTTTACAGTGTATTAGATGGAGGAGTTGTACAGGGAGATGGCCACGGGCAGGAATGATTTCCTGTGTTATTCAGTGGTGCGTTTGGTAATCTCAGTCTCTCACTGAACGTGCTCCTGTAACTAGCCAGTACTTCATGGAGTGGGTGGGAGGTATTATTCATGATTGTCCTTATCTTGGACAACATCTGCCTCTCAGACACCACCCTGACAGAGTCCAGCTCCATCCCCACAACATTACTGGCCTTGTGGATCAGTTTATTTAGTCTGTGGGCATCTGTGACCCCCAACCTGCTGCCCCAGCATGCAACAGCTTAGAGGATAGCACTGACCACAACAGAGATACAACAAGATAACATTAATTAGTAGGGATAGTGAAAATGTCTGTTTACGTTTGTTAGCCACTTGGCTATGATAGTAAACAGTAGACACTGATGTAGCTTACTGAATCTTTTGGATTGTGTTCAGCACAATATTAAGGTGCATTAGTCATTGCCAGTTATTGATTTGTTCCAATAACAGTTTTTACAGTAAAATATGTTATTGTACAATGCTCAATATATTGAATGTGTGGGGGCGGGGTGTGGGATGGGGCGGGGTGGAGGGTACCGGGTGCGGGGGGCGGGGTGGGCGGGGGCCAGAGAGGGTGTTCCAGGGCACCAAACAGGCTAAGACCGCCACTGCCCATCAGTGTGGTGTTCAGTGAACATAGTAGCTTAGAACACCTTTAGGACTAAAGAGTTGATACTGAAATACAGGAAAAGCTTGACTCAAACCAAGCCTCATTTTGTATTGACTGTGGAGAGCTTGTGAGTTCCTCAGTGAGACTCCACTTTCTGCTGTTATAACACAATTCACATCAGTGTGGTACGCACGCTGCTCTGTGGCAGAAAAAAATGGTGCTGCAAGCACTGGTGGAGAAAAAACCAGCGGTTGCTATCTGTCAACCCTAGAGGACATTGCCACCTCAGACCACAAAACGTCATCAGGGACTGCTCTCATTCCAGTTAGGGACTTATTCTTCGTCTAAAACACGCACCTCTAGATTGTGACACCCTTTCTTTCCAAAAGCTATCTGTGTTCTGAACACTTGCATCCACCAATAAATAAATGTGCCGATAACTGACTCATGCTGCAACTTTTTTATTTTAATAAAGCTACAAAATACAAGTGTAAAATGTCACATTAATAAAACACTTAGGGTTGATTTTTGTTTACATTGGGTAACATAAGAAAAAGTCTGAATTTAAACATGGAAGCATAGTGTTTGAGGGGCTGTCAGAAGACACAAAAACATGTATGATGTTACACAATAGCTTAATTTTCCAGGAGACCTTCGGTTGAGACAGATGTAACCACAACAGTATTCAGTTCCTCTCAAACGAACTGCTTTTCAAAAATAACACTTGTACCGTGAGGGGATATGGCTCACTCAGACTATCCAGCCTCTGTCTAGTTTATGACTCATTTCTTAACTGAATTTTTCAATTTGCATTTGAATGTTCTTGAACCTGACTATGCAATTATCTACTGCTTAAACATACTTTTTTATGTTTTCACCTTAGTTTCAAACTTGTGGACTGACTGTCTTTTG